GTGCCGTCCGACGACGACGACGACGACGAGTGGGACGTCGTTGGTTTTGGTGCTACATTGGCCATCTCCGAAGATGAAGATCTCGAGGAGCAGACGAGGAAGATACTCCGTGGTTTCCGATACTTCATGGATCCGGAAGATTATGATGGCGTGCCGCCATTATTCACTATTGGGATTAGTGAAGTAAATAAAAAATACAACTACTGAATCGTCCACAGAGACGATATATTCATAATAATAATAATAATAATAATAATAATATTTTTTATAGGAAGAAGTTTGCGACGCCGCACAGTGGGGCCAAACAATATGCGTTGTTTCAAAAAGGTCTAGAGCCTTTGAATTTCAACCGATTTTGACATTCTTTTTTTTAAAATAATCGTTTTGAAGTTTGCAAGAGATCCCTCGTGGCCGATTTTTAAAAAAGATTGTTAGGAATTAGTGATACACATAAATATAAGAATTTTTTCATGAAAATAAACTGTGACTGCTGAATAATTGTATATAATATATTAAATAATTGATAAACGAGTACATGGGTAGTGTGTGTGCGTGTGCGAGTGCGTGTACGTGTGCGTGCGCGCGCGCGCGTGTGTGTGTGTGTGCGTGTGTGTGCGTGTGCGAGTGCGTGTGTGTGTGTGTGTGCGTGCGTGCGAGCGCGCGCGCGCACGTTCATTCTTCTGATCGAATTAATAAAGTTTTCGCGTCTGGATCTATCATTAATTTTGTTTTTTCCGATTTCTGTCGTAGGTTGAATATGTACGGATCCGACAAAGTTAATAATTATTGCAGTAAATCTTCATTTGTATTAATTCTACTACATTTTTGAGTATTGAATTCACGATAATGTTTTAAATCTTTATTGCGTGATTCCTGGGCTTCTTCTGATAATAAACCTATAGAAATAAGTCTTTCGTACTTATTCCTATATAGGTTTGTTATCAGAAGAAGCCCAGGAATCACGCAATAAAGATTTAAAACATTATCGTGAATTCAATACTCGAAAATGTAGTAAATTAATACAAATGAAGATTTACTGCATTAATTATTAATTTTGTCAGATCCGTACATATCCAACCTACGACAGAAATCGGAAAAAACAAAATTAATGATAGATCCAGACGCGAAAAATTTATTAATTCTATCAAAAAAATGAACGCGCGCGCGCGCGCGCGCACGCACGCACGCACGCACGCACGCACACACAAAATACCCATGTACTCGTTTATCAATTATTTAAATATATTATATACAATTATTCAGCAGTCACAGTATATTTTCATGAAAAAATTCTTATATTTATGTGTATCACTAATTTCTAACAATCTTTTTTAAAAATTGGCCACAAGGGATCTCTTGCAAATTTCAAAACAATTATTTTAAAAAAAAGAACGTCAAAATCGGTTGAAATTAAAAGGCTCTAGACCTTTTTGAAACAACGCATATCGTTTGGCCCCACTGTGCGCCGGTGGCAGCGGTGACGCCAGAAGCGGCGATGGACGCTATGACGTCGGGGGAGCGGCGGGCGACAGACGCGGTGACGTCGGGAGCAGCAACAACGAACGGAGGCCTGGGGCTGTATTCTGTACACGCTTAGCGACAACTGTCGGTTCGGTACGATAACGACATCTATCGCTTGCACGATCGATACAAATGGATGAACGTTATTCTGTACACCATGGCTACCGACACATATCGTTGCAAGCGACAGCCGTCGCTACGACTTTATCGATGAAGTACAGGCTGGAAAAAATAGTAGAATAATGTTTCTCAGCCAATAGCATTAAAGTTGTAAAAGAAATTCGCGGGATAAAATCAACATTAGCAAAGTTAAGGTAAAAAGGTTAAGGTAAAAGTAAATAAAAATAAAAAAAGTTGTTATAAATTTGCGTTATAAAAAATGCAGGCTTCACAAGAAA